GAGTGCGACACATAGCACAGCAGCTCAAGACTTTAACTCGTGACTCACACGTGACTCTTGACTCGTTACTCACACATTGAAGAGTAGTGACTCTGACTGTTCGCACCAGCATCTCTGATATCGCGTACCCATCAATCTGAGCGTGCATGGCTCTCACCAGTCCTTGATCTTGAATCACTTTCACTCTTGACTTGAATCACGAATCGCTTTCACTCGACCCCAACACAAACACTCGCGACTGCAGGGCTCGCGTTGCATTCGTGATTGTATCTGCACCGGATGTATGCTGCCTTCGTTTGATCCAAAAGCACCCCCAAAACTATTCTCTAGCTCCACTCGTCACCCTTGTCACTCAGACGCCATCTGTTCGCTCCTCTGCACACAGTTCATCCATCGCCTCGAGTCATTAAGGCAACCAGTGCCAAGCCAAATTCACCGCTCAACTCAGCACCTCATCTCGAGCAACATGAGCGGGCGCGGAGGGCCTCATCATCCTAGCGATGGTATTGTCAACGCTCCCTACCTCGAACAATTGCTGTTCCAACCAGGGCTCGAAGTGAGGCAAAGGCGGTGAGTCTCTCGACTCAAAGAATCCCCTTGTTTGGCCACGCTGATGTGTCTCGCTTCCCCACTTTCTACCTGAAGAGGATCTGCATCATCAAGTGGCAGCAATCATCGTGTTCGTGTGGAAGATCTTGCCCACTGTCAGCGTGTGCACGAAGCCAATGGGCGCACCGGCTCCTTTGACGCACACAAAGTTGACTTTGTCGAGGGGCAGAGCCAACCCGTGCGCTGTCATCTTGTTGCGCATGCCGAGGAGACAGCTCAGCGACTGTCACTCTTCCTCCGAGCTGTAGGTGAGCTGCCAATGAGTGGAAACGAGTGCACGGCACTCAAATGTACTCTGGACAACTGCATTTTGAGTGAGTGATGCCAGCCAGCATGGCAAAAGACCCTTCTGCTCACGCCGCGCGGCAGTGCGAGACCATTTCCATAAGCGCATGGACCAGCGACCAACTGGCTTTCTGCTTCTTCCGAGCGAAGCAACACTGCTCGTCTGCATCAGCAGCTTGCTGGAGTGTCTTGCAGAGAAAGAGCGGCTGCAAGAGCCAGGAGAGCAGTGGCAGCTGGACTTGAATGGAGCGCTGCAGCTCTATGACCTTCGTATGGACGCTCAGGATCTACGCCTGGTAAGTTTGGACTGCCTTTTGAGTCTTGTTCAAAAACAGCTGACCGACGCTCCTTGATTTGACTATGGTATCAAGTTCGACTACGTTCCCCTTCAGCTGGCTCCCTTCGACAGCACCTCCATCAAGGTCTATGCAGGAGAGCTGCTGCCAAATGGGTACGACTTTGAAAGCCACTTTGACCACGAATGGGCTGGTCCTGATCCGGATGATGAGGGCAGACTCTTGCGCGAACCCCTCACCATTCGTCTTGCCCTCTCACCCATCAAGGCCAGTGCATATGCGGTGATGCACGTCCGACATCGTCAAAGCAGGTGCCCAGCCTCTGTCCAGAGATCTCTTCAGCTTGCTGAGTATCTGCTTCGCTTGGTCTGCATTGGTGAGTGGGTCGATAGGCACGGCTGAAAGATCGTGGTCTGGCAGGTGACAGAACGTGCTGGGGTGCAGGTTGCTGATGCCTCGGCACTG